GCCGTACTTCTTCACGGCTTCCTGGAACCTGTGAAGGACGTGTGACTTCAGTGAACCACTACTTTATACCCTCAGTAAAGGATTGCGTTTCATTCCTATACAGTCCTTCGTTTCATCATTCCTATTTTCCCTGTTTCTCCTCCTGTTCTGTCATCACTCCCTTCTGTACCTCATCTTCTAGTGCTCCTACTCCCTTTCTTTTAGTTCCACTTCTCCACTTTCACCTCCTGTTCCGCCAACAGCACCACCTCCCTCTACCCCCTAACCCTCCAACTCTTGCCCAATCCTCCCTGCTTCCCGCGCCTTCCACTTCCCTCAGGATCCTAATCCATCGGGCACTTTCCCTCCTCCCGTCTTCCCCCACGCCCTCCTCCGCCATACCTCTGAATATTCTCCATGAGCTTGAAGGACCCGCCTGAGGTCTGGATCTTCTTGACCGAGTTGGGCTGCAGCTTGTTGATGAGGTTGCACAGGATTACGCCGTCGCGGAACACGTCCTCGAAGTTGCCTGGGGGGAGCTTCTCGCCGAGGACGGCCTCCACCCACGCCATCACCTCGGCCTCGAGCTCCTTATTGCGACCCTGGAGTGGAGGAATAGAAGGAGGTTTAGGAATGCGTACATCCTGAACTGGGGTTTATATGCTTCACAGCAATTACTTTTTTCCTTGTCTTTATTCGATCTGTCTGTGTTGTTGAAGACTGAAATAGTTCCTATAGGTGTAGATTTACCATGCTGTGTTTCAAAGCTTCATTCAGGGACCGAGGCTTTGTTCATATCGAGTGGAACTATTCTGCGCATTTTCTGTGCCTATATTCAGTATCTACAAGCATTTTGATTACAGTATTCATATATGTTGTCAGCGTTTACAGTTTTAATTAGAGTATTTATTTATGCATCAAGTGTGCAGGAAAGCTTGAATTAAATGTGAACCTATATACGAGTGAGTGTAGTAATCTGATTAATGTATATGCCAGTGTGTATAAGGGTTTGTATAAAAAGTTTACGCAGCGCCAGTGTATGTAGGGTAATGTTCTTCTATAAAAAAAAGCAAAAACAGATAAGGATCAACGGTATTCCCAGACTATCCGTTGCCGAAACACTTGATTCCTATATGCTGCGCATATGTTTCGTCCGTTAATGCTGTACTTGTAGTATTTTTCTGTAGAATTCGCAATGAAATTAGAATGAAAGGAGTAAGATATGACATTCATACACACACGTGTGTGTATGTGTGTTTGCGTGCGTGCGTGTATATATATATATTATATATATATATATATATATATATATATATATATATATATATATATATATATATATATATATATATATATATATATATATATATATATATATATATATATAATATATATATATATATATTATATATACATATATATATATATATATATATATATATATATATATATATATATATATATATATATATATATAATATAATATGTATATGTATATATATATATATATATATATATATATATATATATATATATATATATATATATATATATCATATGTATATATATATATATATATACATATATATATATATATATATATATATATATATATATATATATATATTAGTCTAGACGAAAAGAGTAGGGCATAGCCGCATCCTGCTCTTCCCAGGCGTCATCGCAACCGCTGACATATGCGCGGCAGGTGTTGTATCGCGCACACCTGTTCCGAAATCTCGTGGCAGACTTATTTCCGACGCTCTTAGAAAAAAAATATATATACTTCTCGTATTTAGTGGCATCTGAACGTCGTATGTCACTTTTTTGAGGGGAGGAGCAGCTGGGTAGATGAAATATGAAAAATGGTTAGTGCTCAGTAAAGTCCTCGGTTCGATAATGATTAAATATTTTAAACCTTTTTGCAGAATTTTCGGCATTCATAAAAAAATTAAAATGTCCACCGATTAACATGACCGGATAATCGAAAATAAACTTGAAGGGTCATGCGATATTTCGGTCGAGAGGAGAAAACACTCATAAAACCAGATCATAAAACATTAATATCAACCCTATGGCATGTTACAGCGGTTATTTTTGCATAGTTAACCGAGGGGATGCGATACCCGAAATAGCTATTGGCAGCGGTATAGCGCTAGTAGCGGTATTACGATACTATAGGGAAAATAAAGATAGTACTATAGCGTAGTAACGACTGTTTGTAGTATCGTTGAGTCTTAAAGGTGTTATTCAGTTGTGATGCCTGCTTTCGTTCGTCTGTTGTAAACCAAAGATTCTTTGAAAGTTTAATGATTTTCATAATTAAATTACAGATTATTAGATGTCATAAAACAACTGCATCGAAAAGAGTCAGGTGAAAGGTGTCAGTTTCTTTTCACTATCAATTTGTTTGCAATGAAAAAGAACACAGAGACGAAGATAACAATCAACGATGTTTTCGCATGTGTCGGAGTAAATCTCAATGCAGAGGTGATAGAGATGACAGGAAAGGATAAAGAAGCAACCTGTCGGACAGGGATGCGAAGGATCAGGAGCAGCTGATAGTTACATGAAGAAGGCAATTGAAGAAATTGCCACACATTACCAAAGCATTACACTGAACTATAGCAAACGCTTGGTATAACATCCAAAAATGTATGACATGTTTAGCCTCACCTTCACTTCTGCTCTAGCAACCTTTCTTTCTCCTTTTCCTTCACTTTCTCTCTTCTCTATTGATAGGATTCTTATTGCCCATGTTATGATGTTATCATCGTAACTGTTGTTTGTTATTACCTTTTCATTCTTGTTATTTTAGAAAAAAAAATATATGCTATCTATCGTTCTGGGTATCATTATCATTATTATTGTCATCATTACTCTTACCATTGTCATTCGTATCACTATCAGAACTTTTTGCCACGTACTGTGCCCTCCCCCGACCTTTCCCTTTTCCTTTTTTCATTCCCTTTCTCACTTCCTCATCCTTCCCCTTCCTCCTCCTACTCTCCTCTTCCTCTTCTTCCTCTCATATCTCACCCCACCGCCTTTACCCTAGTATCCTCATCATCATCATCATCTTCCCCCCCCCCCCCTCCTCCTCTTCGCTCTTCCCCCGTTTCGGACCCCTCAGTCCCTCACCTCCACTACCTTCTCTCCCCCTCTCCCCCAACCGCCTGACCCCTCCCTGCCCCCCCCCCCCCTTGCCCTCCCCAAAAGGCGGAATTCCCCATTTCATCGCCAACCAAGCCAGCTCCGTCTCTTGAACAGAAAGGAGTGCCCTAACTTGGCAACTTCCCTATCCGCGTTTGCCAAAAAGGAAATTAGAGAAGAAAGTCTTAGCTCTCCTTCTCGCATCATCTCCTTATCGCGTCGTCTCTTCCTCTTCCCTTCGCCCCTCTCCGTCTTCCTCATTCCCCCTTTCCTTTTTCCTTCACAACTCTCATCTGTTTCTGTCTTGGTCTTTCTATCTTTCTCTCTCTCTCTCTCTCTCTCTCTCTCTCTCTCTCTCTCTCTCTCTCTCTCTCTCTCTCTCTCTCTCTCTCTCTCTCTCTCTCTCTCTCTCTCTCTCTCTCCTCTCTCTCACCCTTCTTTCTTTCCCTTGGTCTCACCTGTCAGCTTATTTGTCATTACCATTTTTCATTTGGTTCCGTCTGGCACTGCCTCATTTTTTTATTTTTTTCCCCATAGTTTCGTCCCCTCCTCAACGTTTCTTCTTCCTCCTTTCCCCATTCTCCACATTCTCTTCCTCTCCAGAATTGTCTTCCTCCTTTTGTCCTCATTCTCCTCATTCCACTTGTATTCCTCCCCATATTTCCCTTCCCCCTCCCATTCTCTTCTTCCTCCTCTTTCACATTCCTCCTCCTCCTCCTCCTCCTCCTCCTCCTCCTCCTCCCTATGCCAAGTGCAGCACCTGTCTTCTTCAAGGCCTCATGTTCTGTTGACTTCCGGCATAAAGTCAACACAAAACATATTGAGGCAGAAGGCTCGGGGGCGAGACAGGTGGTTCGAGCGTGTTCAGGTGTAGGTGGCTGAGTGGGATTTCCTGTTATTGTTTATCTTTTTATCTCTTGTAGTCTCTTCGTAAAAGCTATCCCGCTTTTAGTTTGTTTGTTTACATATTTTTTCCCCATATCTCTTTCCTATTTCCCTTCATTCAGCTGTTCATAAGCACTGGCATCAGTGTCACCATTATCATTGACACTGCCGATGTTGATGGAAGACGACTGGCGAACAACTTCAGCAAAATGGAAGAGCAGAAGGCAAAGAAAAGAATGAACGGTGGATGAGATAGTCTGATATCTAGATGGAAAATAGGTAGATAGATAGGCACATAGGTCAAATAACTTGATTGTTGATTAAACGGAAAAAGAAAAGGAAATGGATATGAAATGGAAAAAATCCTCCCAAAAGAAAAGCTTATTCTATTTTATCTCATCTAATTAAGTCCTATTCTATCCACTGAAGAACAATTTCATTCTATTCCATTTCCTCCCTTTTCGAAAAAAATGAAACAGCATTAACGCGATTTTCTTGATTTATAGGAGAATAAGATAATTAAAATTAATGCATTTTCTGTAAATTGCGGGTACATGACATTGGCATTGTGGTGGCACTCTTTTGGCGCTGTGCTGACACTGTGTTAATCTCCTGTCATGCCGATCCCACGCACTCGAAGCTGAGTCAGAGAAGCGTCGTCACGTCTTGCCAATTTCGTCAGTTCAAATTATGACAATCAATGGCATTTTGGGCTGAATAGTGTTATTGTTGTTATTGCGGAAGTCGACAATGCTATTTTTACTTATATTAAAAATATATATATTATAATATAATATATATATATAATATAATATATATAATATATTATATATATTATATATATATATATATACACACACACAATATCTACATACATATATATATATATATATATATATATATATATATATTATATATATATATATATATAGTATATAATATTATATACACATGCATACATATATATATTATATATATATTAT